AAAAAAAAAAAAAAAAAAAAAAAAAATTTTTTCCTTTGATATTGATTGCATATAACCCCTTATTTATTAATAATCACATTGAATGGTTTAAACGTGGCAAACATTATGATTTGGATGGGCGACATGAATTTAAAATACAATGTTGTATTAAATTGTTGAAGATCTTTAATCACAAGACTTTGAGAATTAAGAAAAGTTCGAACTTCGAATGAACTTTTCTTCCTTATCCTTGAAGATCTTTAATCACAAGATTTTGAGAATTAAGAAAAGTTCGAATGAACTTTTCTTTCCGTATATCACATTGTTCCTGATCACGAAGATCACATTTACGTTATATGCCTAAACGTAACGGTTACACAGCAGTGTTAAGAAATAATTATCATTAAATGAATTTTATTTATTTAAAAAGAAATTTTTTTATTTAATGCAATAACGGCCATATATTCTTTTGGATTTCTCTTTCCAACACAAAATTTACATTTAATAAATTTTCCTAATATGTTTTGTATTGGGATGATACTATCTCTACTCATGGCATAAAATTCGTTAGACCATAGTTCTATGTTGCATGAATTTATGTCTTCCTTATCCACTTGAAAATGATACCTTATTTTGTGATCCTGAACTGGTTTGTACCATCTAACCAGTGCTAATGAATGGACTAACGATTGTCTTTTATAAATAGTATGTTTAAAAAAGAATTGAATTTGTCCAGGATATGTGTCAACTGTTCCATCATCCTGAACAAATCGAGCTAATATATATGACGATTTTTCATGCCGAGCTGCTTGAATGGAACCGTATATGTCTGCACCGATTCTTAATCGGCCATACTGTTTTATATTGGAATTTATTACAATATTATTACTTGGATCGATCATAGACGAGATAGAAATGAAATTATCATTGTACAAATTTTCATAGTATTCCACCAAAAGGTTTAAAATATCTGTCGGAAGGAATGTTTCTTTGTATGGGTCCATTAACATTCCGGGAAAAGGCTCTGTTCCGATAGCCGATTCATCTTCAATAAGAGCGAGTCTTATGAAATCTTGATATTCATCGCTCGTAAAGTCGTCAAGTGCAGCCAGGCTGCCAGTTGATTTTCGAGGTTTTATGAAGTCCAAGGAAGTGCGCAGGAGTTCATCATCACAATTGGAAAGGAAATACTTGAGGAAAGAATTTTCGTTTATGATTTTTAGAAGTTCGGGCTCAATGTTACGTTTACTATTTTGATAGGAACCTACATTTTTTTTTAATAATAAATTTGTTATTTGAAACAATGCTGTTTAAAAATCAGTAAATTAATTTATACCTAGAATTCCATTCATTCGTTCAAAACTAAAACACCAGAACGAAGATAAAGGGCCATAATCTAATGCGCATTCACAGATATGAAGACACAAATGCAAATTTGGGCTTATTTTCTCTTGGCCGTATTTCTGTTCGACTAGTTTATTCATTTCAAATAGTCTAATAAACGCTTCATCTAACTCCTTTTTTTGTAGTTCCCGACCAGTTAATATTTTGCAGGCACGTACAAAGTATGCAAGGATTTTTTTATCAATTTCATCCAAAAAATCCCATGTGATGGGTATTGCAAAAATCATGATGAATGTTTTCCACATGTCAGCTGTAAAATTCGAAAACCCATCACCGGTGGCTATCCTGGCAGGACGACGCCCAAGATCACTTGCTATCTTAATTTCGTCAGCCCTTTTTTGCATTATTTTCAATTTTGCATCATCTAAAATCCCTTCTCCTATCCAAAGTTTCATTACTATCCATTTGGCTACTCCGAGGAATAGACAATGCATAGGATCAACTACACAATGTCGCACAGGGTTAAAATAATGTAAATTATATATTTCGGACCAACGAACATAATGTTGGGATACGTGAGCTTTCCGTGATTCTTCGGTTTGGCATTGTTTCCATTCACTCGCCTTTTCCCTAATTATCTTAATGTCTCGATCAACAAACCAATCTTCCAAATCCGAAAATCCTCCGAAATTCGGTTGGTTGCCAACAAAATTTGCGGACTTATGACACCGATAACACGCAATACGTGCAGAAATAAATCCGCATAACTTTCGGGTAGCAGGCACGTCACTGGAACAGCCGATTATCGCACCTCGTATAAAACGATCATTGTTGCTTTCATGAGTTATTATGTTGTAACCATTCCATAAATGAACTAATTGGTTTATTATCGGATACAAATAATTATTTATCTCATGAAGCTTCGGCTCATTCGGACCGGGGATCACCGCCAATGTCAGGATATTATGTGACTTGTAGCGTTCGGTGCGTGGCAAATTACATATAACGGCGTAAACCACACCGACAGAATATGACGAACTTAGAAATGGTTGGAACCAATCCATATTTATCATTAAACCAAGATTTGTATCGGCGCGTTCCTTTGTAAAAAAAAGATCATCGTTATCGTCCTTAAACTCCTTCCAAATCATACCATCATAGATGTCGAATAACGCTTCTGTATCATTTTTTCTATTTGCCCACTCTCGACACGATGTCTCAAAATCTTTGCGACCAAAAAGAAGAGTTAATTGTTGCCTAATATTACCTATTGGGTACGTCATAATCGGGCGATATATTTGTTGATTATTATTATTTATTTCTTTGGTCAAAGGATTATTACATGGTTGTCGAAAACGTTGTATGGTATGATTTGGAAAATTAATGAAACTACATGTCTGGACTTCGGTTTTGCCCAGTAACTCGTTAATGTCATAAAGTTTATGGCATTTGTTGCAGGCGGCATATTGAATTATATCTGTGGGTATTCCTAGTTCCTTTTTTGCCATGTACAAGGATGAAGGAAAGGACAAAAATTTATTTTTATCAATTGTCGAAAGTAAGAGACTTAAAAATTTAAATAAAGAGTCAATAGCAACATTTGGTAATTTAAATCGTTGTTTGTATTCTAATAACCATAGAATAATCCAACAATAATGCATATGATGGTTATTAACTGTATTAGGACGTTTGGGCTTATCGTCAAAATTTGGCGATGCAAAGTTAATCTCCTCATATTCATCATTTTCAGAATCTACTTCGTTTTCAGAATCGATATTTTGATCATTATCCTCGGGATCCTCCGAATGTCTATTTTGATCATTATCGTCCAACAATAAATTTTCAAGAATTCTATTAGAAATTTTTCCTTTTTTTACGCTTTGCATAGGCAACTTTTTTGTTAAAAAATTATAATTTCTTTTGGGAAACTCCATTCCATCATCATCCATTTCTTCGCGCATTATTTCATCAGGTAGCCCAGGTAGCCCGGATGGACCAGCTTCTTGTTCATCATCCATTTCTTCGCGCATTATTTCATCAGGTAGCCCAGGTAGCCCAGATGGACCAGTTTCTTGTCCGTTATCATACATTTCAATATTGCCCATTTCATCAGATGGCCCGGTTTCTTGTCCGTTATCATACATTTCTTCATCATCCGGTAGCACAGATAGTCTAGCTTTTTGATACTTAATTTTTCTTGACATAAATTCTTCATGCTTTATTTTCGTTCTTGGATCCACCAATTTATTACCTTCACACTTATCACAAAAACATTGCACTTTAATTCTCGTTCTTAAAGACATTTTTAACGAATAGAGTTTAACAATATAAACTATATAAAATCAGAACTAATCAATCATTCATACATTTAATTTTTTATTGTATAAGCCACATTTTATTAATTTGACACATTTTATTAATTTATAATATAAATATTCACAAGAACAATATGTTGTAAACAATACGTCCCATTCTTTGAGAAATAATTCAATGATCCAATCACACATTCACATTGCCGACTTCCTTAATCAGAATGTGTATTAATAGTTATGAAATATCGATTCCTTAATCAGAATGTATATTAATAGTTATGAAATATCGATTCTTCAGATGCAGATGTTCAGTTCAGAAGCACATGTATTATTTTTTTTGCCCCCATATCGAGGGAATTAGCTACATAATTCAATCACATTATCAATTTCTTTAATTAGTTATATTACATATAAAAATATAGATAAATTGATAAATCTTTTTAAAAAAAAATCACGAATTTTAACTAGGGAACCGTGGGATAAATAAATAATAATAATCCTTTTCATTCAGTTCCTTTAATCACATAGTTTTAATTTGTCTGGGATACGTTAAGTAAGTTAGAACGAAACGAACTTTTTCTTTTTATAATATCATTGCATTATAATAGATTTAATAACGTAATCTTGATGATTTAAAGATTAAAATTTTAAATAATGACTTCCACTTCAAGAAGAAACAAACGCATAAAATATTTTAGTCGTAATCAGCATCGTCAAAAGCAGCAGCAATCGGTAATTATTAATTAGTAATATAAAAATGGTTTATTTTTTTATTAAACATTTATATATTTTTTATTATTATTCATTTATTAGAAACAAAATCAAAATTTAGATAACGCACTTGCTGATGCAGTAAATAATATGTATATTTCGCAAACAAATTTTGTACCAAGAGAGTGGTATGAAAAGTTGTGGAGGGATTTTAAAGATCTTGATAGAGACTATGGAAATTTAAATATTAGGTTTAGATTTGGATTGAGTTTGTGGAGAGTTTTATTAATTTTTATAATGATATGTTGTCTATTAGCTTTAATAAAATTTTTTTTGAATCACGTACTATAAACATTATTTTGTTTGGATTTTTTTTATTATAATTTTTGTAAAAAAAAAATTCATTCGTAATCTTCTTCTTCCCAATTAATTTCGGATATAATTTCCAAATAATTGACATTCGCGTGTCGGTACCTTGATCCGTCTTGCAGCTCTTAAAATATTTTTAAGTTCTTTCGCTGTAATTTATGTATTATTACAATATTTTAATATTTTTTTTTGTTGTTTGATTTTGCTTCGATTTATATAAGTAAATAATAATATAAAAATAATTAAATATTAATATTTATCCCATAAGCAAATTTTGTACCAAGAGAGGATTATGAAAATTAAAATAATAGAATTTGTATTACAATAGATTGTCCAAGAAAAGTTCGAGCGAACTTTTCTTAACTTAATGTATAATATAAAAAAATAATTGACATGTGAGAATATCAATCAACAAAAAAGTCCTTCATGAGAATATCAAAAAATAATAATAACATAACAATGTAATTTAACATGTTTCAGAAAAAAAGAGGGGGGGGNGGGGGGGGAATGTATCATTTGATTTTACATGACTTGCGTAATTAGATCGATCTGTTTCTTGTATTTTTTCTCAAAACCGTAAATTTTTTTTTCAAATATAATATCGTGAATTTTTTTTTTCAAATATAATATCGTGAATTTTTTTTTTTAAATATAATATCGTGAATTTTGTTTTCAATGGAGACGACTTCATCATCTCAAGGGACCACCTTTTCATCTCAAGAGAATTCGCTAAGTAAATCATCTTATTCATTAAATAAATAGTAAAATTGATTTATTAAAATTATTAATTATTACAAATTATTATTAATTACAACTTATATTAATTATTTTCAAATAGAAAAAAAGCTCTTAGAATTTGGAATAAAAACAAAAAGAATGATGTTTGAATTGGGCATCAGTACTCTCAATATTACCGAAAAAGAAATAATGATGGAAAATAATGAACTTGGAGTGTTAAAAGTGATCCTCAGTAACAATGATGCCATAAAAGAAAACGAAGATGATGATGTCTCAAAAGATGATGATACATCATCAAAATTATCTATAAATCTGGATAATAAGAAACGACCATTCTTGACAGAACAAAATGTTAAAATGGCGAAAATTCTATATGTATTATTAGCAAATATAGAAAAACTTTCGGATCATCCTCCAATGATGAATCCATTCGAAATCGAAAAGCAAGAAACGTATATTCAATTATTATTAAGTAAACTTCTTGAAAAAAACACAAAAGAAGAATTCGAATCTGAAATAGAAAACAATAAAATTTTTTTAAAAATTGAGTATACGAACGAAAATGAAGATGAAATTGACGAAAGTGATGTTATTTCGGAGGTTGAGCTGTTAAAACTTGGTGAATCGTCTTTTAGCCAAATTAAAGAAGAAACCATTAAAACCTTGGTTTCGCAATTAGTAATAGTTTACGATAAAGTTCTCCAACAGCATATTGATGTAGAAATGAAAAGACGAAAAAGTTTCCGAGATTACATAAATTTTCTATCAATTTATCGAAAAATAGAAATATATTGCAATTTATATAAGATAAGAATAAAAGGCCAGACGATAAAAAATCAAGTTAGCAATAAAATTGTTGAATATTCCCAACAAAAAATTCAACATAATGATTTAAAAATCATTATCAAAGCAGCGAAAAGAATAGAAAGACTAACAAATCTTTCAAACGGTGATTGGCGAGTAATTGATATGGTTCCAAACCTAGATATTAATTTTTTTAGATCAACATCAATAAGTGTCATCGCATTTGAGTGTTGGTTGAAGATTGTCGAAACGAATCAAATTCTTTCTGAAGAAGATTGTCATAAGATATATTTGAAAAAAAAAGATGATGATAATAAATTAAGAAAAGATAATATTAAAAAAGTATATCAATTAGTAAATAATGATGATGAATTAAATAATGATGATGAATTTTCAGGGAATATTCAAGATGATTCTTCCAACTCACCAAGATACTATCCGGATGATGTAGAATTGGAAGACTCCCCAAGATATTATCCGGATGTTGATGATCCTATGGATGAGGATGTGAATGACATTTAAAACAGCGTTCATATAGTTCTTTTGACGGTATCTTAATTTCCTCAAGAAAATTTATATAATATTTAGTTTTTTTATTCATAAGTAGAAGTTAAATTTTTTTAATTTTTTTAAATTTTTAATTTTATATATTTTATATATCATTTTTTTGTGTACTTGATTCAAGAAAAGTTCGAGCGAACTTTTCTTAAAATTTTATTGTAATACAAATTTGATAACGTGATTTTATTTTTAAATTTTTAATTTTATATATTTTATATATCATTTTTTTTTTGTGTATTCAAGAAAAGTTCGAGCGAACTTTTCTTAAAATTTTATTTTAATACAAATTTGATAACGTGATTTTGATTCGCTCGAAAACTTTTCTTGAATCTGATCTGGGATCAGCTTTAACGTAATACAAGATAACATGACTCAAGAAAAGTTTCGCTCGAACTTTTCTTAAATTTATATTCTTAATTCAAGATAACGTGATCTCAATTCAAGAAAAGTTCGTTCGAACTTTTCTTAAATTTACATTCTTAATTCAAGATAACGTGATCTCAATTCAAGATAACGTAGAAATTAAACGCGTCAATTTTAAACTTTTTTTTTACTCTTTTACGACGTGTTAAAACGATGTTAGTTAAAATTCTATTTTACGTGATACAATCATTTAATCCTGTGATACTGATATCGATAATCATATAATTTTACGTATTAACTACAATACAATATTTTTTTTTAATTAATTAAAGAAAAAATTTCAATAACAAGTACAAATATCGGAAAAAAATCTTTTTTATAAAAAATAACTTTAATACAAATATTATCTTTATTTGTGATGCCGAATTGTTCTTATTATAATAAAGTTTTTAAGGAACAAAAGGATGACGAAAGGGCGATCAAGGATGAAATAATGATAAAAGGAACGATCAAGGACGAAAAGGGAACAAAAGAAACGATAAAGGAAACGAAAAAAAAGATTAAGGACGAAATAATGATGAAAGGAGCGATCAAGGATGAAAGAGAAGCGAAAGATACGGATAAAGAATGAAAGAGAAAACAAAAGAAACGAAAGGGAATAAGAACGAAATGAAAGAATGAAATACAAAAAGCGAAGTCCAAAAGCAAATAAAAGAAAAGCCCAACCAATAAAAGAAAAGAAGAAAAAATGGTTAATTAAAGAAGACAAATTTTTCAAGATTCAAGCGTCTTGAACTTACCATTTACTGGGAGCCTGATGCCGAAATCTAAAGCCGTTAAAAGCCGAAAAGAATAACCTAAACCTAAGCACCTACAAAAAAAAAAGAACGTTAGTCAATGCCATAAATTAATAAAATAACAACGTTAAAAAATAGAAACATACCGAAAGTAAAAAGCATCAAAAATTTAAAAAAAAGCACTAGTTAAAATAAAGATCTTTGGTTGCGACTAAGAAAAGTTCGCTCATTTCAATGCAAGATGGTACTTGTCTGCTACCAATGAAAATCACATTGATACCCAAGTTGCACGACGAGGACGTCAGTACCAACGCAACTCAAAAAAATAATTATGAATAACTATCAGTTATACAACGCCTTATCCAGGATAGCCAAATAGAGAAGGACGTTCACAGTAGGCCGTCCTCCGTACGCCAGGTCTGGTTACCTGACTGGAAACTTTCGCAAACTGTGGCCACGAAGGACTTCCGGTTCTCAAATTTTACTAGTTGTATAACGCCCTTAGGAAGACCATCATTCACAATTATGTTGAATAGAAAATCTTTTTCTATATATTTATATATATATAAAAAAAAAAAAATTACGAAGATTGATTATACATCATTTAAGATTTCATATTTCTAAATTTTTCCAACTTACACGAGCATGATTATAGAAATCATACGTTGTATGGACTTATAAAGCAACAAAATTGGTATGCTGTAGTACCGATTTGGTTACTCTGATCCCATCACAAGATATCAAATTTTACTTAAAATGATGATCGATCAACATCCATTGATATGGAAAAAAAAAAAAATTTTACTCTTTCGTTTTTTTTCTTTTTAGGTGTAGGACGTCAGGTAAATTGTTTTTTTTTAACAAAATATTTACTAACATTTTAATTTTTTTTTTTTTTACCTTTTTAGACGTTTAGACAGTTTTAAAGATATGACGGACTCATATTAATNACAAAATATTTACTAACGCTTCAATTTTCTCTTTTTTTACCTTTTTAGACGTTTAGACGGTCTTGAAGATATGACGGACTCATATTAATTAGAATTTATTTTTAAAGAGAGCTTATAAAGCAGAGGTCTTTTACTTTGCCTTTACACTTTATTTTATAGGTAAATAGGGGTTGCGTTTAGAGAAGCAAAATTTATAGAAGAAGCACATGATATTTCGATGAAGTCTAACAGGTGGTGAATAGCACCAGTCCGAGGAGAAGGGGTCAATAGGACCTGCTACGGAGAAGTATCATACTTCTAATTGTATAGAAGGTGTGGACCTCTCGCTTGGTAGGTTCAATCAAAGTATGCATATTATGGTTAGCATCACCAGTGTAAATGACTACCTCGAAGTCTTACCACTAGTTATTATTTTTTATGTATAGTAAAGATAATGTATATTTTTTATATTAAATTTATGCCATATATAATAAATTTATAATAATAAATATAATAAATGAAAATAAATAACCCTAATTTCTAATTATCATAATCAATTATTAAATTATTTATATCGTACTTCGTATATCAAAATAGCAACTATGTTAAAATTTGCTTTGATGAATATCGGCTAAATTTGGTACACGCTATACTAGAATCGGCATAAACTATTTTTATAAAGATATGTAAATCGGCATGTTCAATATATCGGCATGTTTATACATGTATCGACATACATATATTAATATCATCCATAGATATTTTATGATAGGCGTGTTTATACTAATATCGGCACACTTTATTAAAAATCGCCAAAATCCGATTTTTCTTCATTTGACCTGTGTATATAACTGATGGGTTACTTATTGTCATTACATATAAAATTATGGGAGGCTTTTCTGATCAGCTGATATGTTCTGATGAAAAATCATTATTTATTATTGTTTAATTTTCATATCCATAATTTCTTAGGGGGTGGGTGACTGGGTGGCGCATTACGCCGTTACGTCATCGTTTTGAAATGGAATGACAGGTTAACATTACGTTTACGTTAACGTTAACGTTAACATAAGATGCTCCCATATTTAGTATTTATTTGTAATTATATAATACACTTATATTAACTTTGATTTAAGCTTTTCTATTTAAATACGATCGGCAGCCAACAAATCTTTTAGTGGTGTAAATAATGGTAAATTGATGCGACAAAGGTCATTCTTTCCATAAAAAGGTTTTCCCGTTTCGGCCGATAATAATTAAAAATAGAATTAATTGCATTAATAAATGATCATTTCAGTTTTCTCATACTTCTCATACCTTCCATAAAAGTTAGCATATTGTTTTCGGTTGATAATGATCTATTCTTTGCAAACATCGTACATTCTCATTTGTCAATCATGCCGATCTTAATATTTTTTTTAAAAGAATAAAAGAACATTCTTCTCCGAACCATACTGTAATAATTGATATTCGTACTATGTATCAATCAAGCGTGGAAGAACAAGAAGAATATGGAAGGTGTATGGAATGTAGACAAATGAATACGCTCTTGTGTAAGTCACATTTGGGTCCGACAATCTTGTGTCAGACTTGTGATTTAAATTTAAGAACACGAAAATTTGGTATATGCATAAAATGCAAACAAATAAATACTGGACAGAATTGGTGTCAGCCTTGTAATTCAGATAGATTTCGACAAAATTTTAGTAATTGGGCTAGTAATAATGATGACGTTGATAAATTTATTCAAAACAATCAACTATCAGCAAAAAATAAATATCAATTATTAGAGTGGATACCCTATGATAGGTTTCATGATGGAGTTAAATATATTACAAAAGGCGGGTTTGGAAAAATATATAAGGCATGCTGGAAGGATGGCTATATATCACATTGGAATGTAATTAAACATCGATGGCAAAGAAATAATGCAAATAAATGTGTGGCTCTAAAAGTTTTAGAAAAATCACAAAAACTTAAATCAGAATTTATCGATGAAGTATATATTTGATTTATTATTAAAATTTTATCTATAAATGTTTTAATTTGCTAATTAATTTATTTATTAATATAGATCACATCACATGTAAAAATAATTGATAGAAATACAACGAATGAAATTGTCAGATGTTATGGGATAAGCCAAGATCCAAGTACAAATAATTATGTAATGGTTATGAAATATGCCGAAAATGGAAGTTTAAGAAGTTCATTGGATAGAAGGAATATAAAGCATAAACCAAATTTTATTAAACTTAGTGAGTTGAAAAAAAGATGTAGTAAATTAATGCATATTGCAAGCGGAATTAAAAGAATTCATGAAAAAGGATTAATTCATCGAGATTTACATACTGGGAATATAGTATGTTTTGTTAGAGGAATTGGTATAACTGATATGGGATTGTGTAAACCGGTAAATTATGAGGAATTAGAAAATAAGGTTTATGGTGTTTTACCTTATATGGCTCCTGAAATTATAGGAGGAAAGATTTATAGTTTTGGCATAATTATGTATGAAATAATTTCAGAAACACCTCCATATCCAAATATTAATCATGATGAACATTTGGCAATAGACATCTGTGAAGGGCTAAGACCCAATTTTAATATTAAGGTACCACAATTAATTGTGCATTTAATTAAAAGATGTCTAGATGTAAATCCATCAAATCGACCAAGTGCAAAGGATCTTTCAAGAACTTTTCACGAATGGACAACAGATTTTGCTAATTATAGAAATGATCGACCATAATTAATTAAAACGGAATTAATTAAACAAATTAAAGAAATAGAAATTAGTTATAATTTTTCAACTACTAATAATTTACCCTTAACAAATAAGGAGCATCCTGGAGCTATATATACGAGTAGACCTTTTAATTTTAATAATCTTCCTGAACCAAAAAATTCTGATAATTATTATGAAAATTGTGATAATATATCAGATATGATATATTTAGGTATTTAATGAAATATTTTTTATTTGTTTATTATTTCAAACTACTTACAAATTACTTTTATCTTTTATAGAAGAATCTTCAAATTCTAATAATAGCGAATGTTTAGAATGAGAAATCATAAATTGAATTACAATAACTGAAGTTTTGTTGGTAATTAAATTTTATATGATGTTAACAAACGATTAAGATAATAGTTATTTATATTTAGCGATTATATAGTTTATGTATAACACTATTTATGTAATTTATCTTTCTCATATAAATAAATGAAAATCAATTTATAATAGATCAAAATACAGTATTTTATTAACATTAATTTATTAAAAAATGGCACAAAATGTAATAAAAACGCAAAATTAGGAAAATATGCATATAATATTATTGAATCTGCTGTCACGTTTGGGTTAACATTAAAGCGTTAAGATACAACAATTTCCTCGTCTGGAAGCTTATTCAACATCAAATTAATGATCATTACACTCTGAAAATTATATCATCGCAGATCGTTTAGCAAAAAAATGGATGTTATTAAACACAATTCTTTACTCATTGGCTTCAATTTGTAGAATAATTTACACATCGTAGATCGCAATATCAGAAAGTGGGTAAACATACCTATATATTAATCCTATTTATTCAACATATTCGTCAATAATCATCGCTTACGCCCATTACATGATTACATCCTATTAAAGACGGAGATTATATCGGTTGGGAAGCTAAGTAATAATAATGGATGAACATGAATCCGTACGATTCTACTTCAGCTAAACTCTCGAAATATGATCTTTGATACAAACTTAAAAGTCTCAACTTTTCTCTACATATGTCAGACCTTCTCAAAGGAACTGGTGATTGTAGTCACCGTGGGTGATGATCACGTGGCGGACAGAGAAATTCATGTGATCGATTTTTTTTTCCATAGTGCGCAGACATATCATGATAGACTATGACGCGCCGTACTGATCAAAAATCCAGGGTAGCTACCCGGGATGTATCCAGGATTTACCCTGGATCATCAAACGCCGTACTATTCAAAAATCCAGGATGACCCTGGATACATCCCGGGTGGTCACCCTGGATTGATCCCGGGTAGCTACCCTGGATGCATCCAGGGTGATCACCCGGGATTTTTGAACATTTACCCTGGATGCAAATTTTACCCTGGATGATCATTGAATTTCTACACCGGTTGTTACATATTATCGGTCACGTGATAAATCACATTTGTCGTTAAAACTTCAAATTGAAATATCTCAGCCAATAAGAATTCAATTTTTATGATATTATCACCCTTAAGCAAGATGAGGCCAATGAGATATAAATTATTAGTTTCTAATATACAGTACATTATTTTTATTATTAAAAAAAGGTAAAAAAAATTTCTATAAGATTTTGTTATATCTATTGGCATTAAAAAAAAATTGGAAAATTTTATTTATGATACAATATTTGTCTTATATATTATACAATCATTAGAAAAAAAAATTTAAAAAAAGATCTATAGTGATCTATTAATATTATTAAAAAATAAATCAAAAAATTTTATTTATGCAATATCTGTCTTATATTATATCGACTGTTATCATTAGAAAATAAAAAAACTTTTAAAAAAATTCTGATTTTGTTATTTCTATAGCGATCTATTGGAAAATTTTGTTTATACATGTACACTCCCCTACAAAAAGTATCCGACCACCCTAAAAATTAAAAAATCATAAAAAATTCGGGAGGCCCAATAATAAATTTATATCTATTTTAAAAGTTCAAGACATGAGACACTTTTTAAAAGGGTTTTTTTAGCTTAATTATTAGTAAAAATTGGCAGAAATTTTTAATTTTAAAAATGGCAAAATTCTTAACTTTTTAACTAGAGCAGTTACGGCCAAATGAATGCCAGAAAACAATTCTTTGACTAAAAAATAGCTTATGTTTAAAAAATCAGAAAGGTTGGACTGGTAGTTGCCGAAAAATCCACCACTGAAGATCACTAAAATTTGGCAAAAATGGTGATTTTTACGGTGTACCGTTTGGATGAAAAGTGCCAAAATTTCGAAAAATTGATTTTTCGAATTTTTGAATTTTAAAATCTCCTTATAAGGAGATTCTCCTTATAAGGAAAATCTCCTTTTATGGCAATGTAACGTTACACAAATGTCTAAATAAGGAAGTTGGTGTTACCAAATTTCCTTTTTGGACGTTTTGTGTAACGTAGATCTATCCTATAAAAGGAAAATTTCCTTATAAGGCGATTTTAAAAGTTCAAAATTTCANTTTTTGGACGTTTTGTGTAACGTAGATCTATCCTATAAAAGGAAAATTTCCTTATAAGGCGATTTCAAAAGTTCAAAATTTCAAAATTTCAAAATTTCAAAAAAAAATTACCATAAAAGGAAATTTTTTTAAGATTTTTGAAATTTCGAAATTTCGAAATTTTGAATTTGAAAATCGCCTTTTAAGGAAATTTTCCTTTTATGTAAGGGATCTACGTAGCACAATATTTAATTTATAGTGCCAGCCAGAATTATAATCTCCTTATACAGAAATTTTGTTTAAAAATATTTTTTTAACAAATCTGGTGGCTAAACTATTTACCCGAATTCCAAAATCATGTGATTGTAATTCTGGCCGGAATTATAATTGATTTTATTAATTTTACAGTTACTTGTGATCAATTTTTCAAAAAAGGAAATATTTAATTTCTACCAAAAATTGGAGTAATACTGGGCGGATTTAAGAAAATTATTAATGTAACGTTACACAAATTTCCAAAAAAGGAAATTTTACTTCTCGCAAAAAATTGGAAATTTGGTTTCACAAATACTCCAAAAAAGGAAATTTATATGGAGATCACTTAATTCCGGCCAGCATTATAGCTTAATTATAGTGTGATAATTTTTTTAATATTCTTTTTAATATTCTTTTATATTCTTTAATTTTTATTTAATTTATTAGTAGTATTACTACAAAATTTTTTTTTTCATGATTTTTTGGCTAGCATTATGAACCATATGATAAATAAAATCATAATAAATAGATTTTAATTACTGAAAAAATTCTGTTTTTAGAATACTTATAAAAATGGAAATGTAAAGAGTATTTAAAGTATTTATTATATAAGGAAATAAATTTTTGCTATAATTATATAAGAAAAATTTTGTAATAATACTAAAAAAGCTATTTATTAAAGACATTATACTTTCTATTTTTTATTTTCAATAATTAATCTGTTATTATTTATTATTAGCTAGTGGTAATGTTGTAGGCTAAATTTTAACAATTGTTTAAACTGCTAAATTTTATTTTAGATAATTTTACCTAAAATGCAAATTAATAAAATTTATTTTTTTAATAAATTTTTTATATTTTTTCCAATAAGTCTCTCCAATATTTGCCTTTAATATTCTTTTTATATTATTTTATTATAAGTAAATTTATTCATTACATATATAATGCATTACACTTTCCTTTTTGAAAAATGTCTAAAGTAGAAGTAAATTATATAATTTCAAAAAAAAATTTTTTTCTAAATAAAATTTTCACCATATATATAAAATAATACAATCTNCACTCCCCTACAAAAAGTATCCGACCACCCTAAAAATTAAAAAATCATAAAAAATTCGGGAGGCCCAATAATAAATTTATATCTATTTTAAAAGTTCAAGACATGAGACACTTTTTAAAAGGGTTTTTTTAGCTTAATTATTAGTAAAAATTGGCGGAAATTTTTAATTTTAAAAATGGCAAAATTCTTAACTTTTTAACTAGAGCAGTTACGGCCAAAAGAATGCCAGAAATCAATTCTTTGACTAAAAAATAGCTTATGTTTAAAAAATCAGAAAGGTTGGACTGGTAGTTGCCGAAAAATCCACCACTGAAGATCACTAAAATTTGGCAAAAATGGTGATTTTACCGTTTTTACATATAAAAATTCTGATCTTCAGTGGTGGATTTTTCGGCAACCTACCAGTCCAACCTTTCTGATTTTTTAAACATAAGCTATTTTTTAGTCAAAGAATTGATTTCTGGCATTCGTTTGGCCGTAACT